GTCTTTGAATCTCAGGAATACCCTAACTGACCCCCGTTGTAAGCTATGTTCACTCTTTACCCTCAAGTGAAAACAGGATGATACGGACGCCTCCAACCCCCTTTATGAGCCAGTATGCAAATGCTTGAAGCAGAAGTTCATCTAAACTCAAGGGATTATTGTAGGACACGTAAGTGTTGAAAGTTGTTGTCCTATATTCAATATAATTTCATTATCCTGTCAGTGCTGAACCTCAGACGAAATCTCCTTTCTTACTTGTCTTTGTTTTGCTTTCTTTTCGCATCTCCGAGCCATCCTACAAATCCTAAGCCGCTTCAATGCAAATTACCCCCGTTCACTTGAACGACTTCCCTACACTCAGTGAAAAATCTTTCGGGCAGATCATTACCTCCATTTTCAACCGTCCCCCCCTGCCTGACCTGCATTTCCCCTAGCCGCCGTTTGGCATGGCCAACCAACTACCATAAACTTACTTAAACGCAATCTACGTTTGGTGCAACAGGCTACGGGGCTTTTTTTTTTGCACTGATTAAGGTAAAAACACTCCAGATTCCAAGTCCCCTTTGCATCATGACTTGGTTTGCGCGCAGCTATATCACATCCCTTAATATTTTCAAGCCAAATAGCTAACCCTCTAGGCACCTTCGACGCCCGAAAAGGCCAACTAGCTGCTCTCAGTAGATGCCTACATGGGAGAGAATTAAGCGCGCAGTCATACACCTCCTATATGCTCGCTACATCATTTCCGTATTCCAGGGTAAAATCGGAATGTGGATCCATCCGGTGGTGACCACGAAAACCAAGGTGCGCCCTTCAAACTTTTCAGTCAGTGCTCGCAAGCGGTCGGTCCTGCCAGGCTCTGGACCTGACCGGAGAGGGGGGGCTACCTGGGCTTTGTCACAAGCCAGCTGGTCTGGGCTGCAGATATCTGCAGGATTCCGGGTGGTGAGCATGATTACCCCGATTTTGGAGAAGTTTTCGGGGCTGCTGTATATGTTGACATGGATTGAGTATAACACAAGTGCTGGATGTCAATGCCCTCTGTGCCTGCATTATACTGGTGTGATACTTTATCTTCACCACTTTTAAACCATTAACCTCTCCCATCACCCACCCAGCAGTTGAGAACGGGGGGATATATACTGGTACGTTGGTGCTCCGGAGGAGTGCGCGGGCAAGTACTGCCGACGGCCGGGCCGGCTGGAGATGGTAGCTTTGGCAATTATCCGCCAGGAGTTGGAATGTTGTCGTGGGGTTCTCTCCTTTAAAGTATTGTATAATATTATTAAATTTGATGGGGTTTCCATATATTCCCGTACTCTGCCGACACCCTTCCACCAGGCCGGAGCCAGTGCAGTGTCTTCGCGGTGCGTGGATGGGAATATAGGTGTTTGTCGAGTGATGTTTTGTGATATTGATGAATATAGTTATCAATGCAAGGAAGGGGTGACACTGGTAATAGATACTGCGCCCTCCTATAGGGCATCCGAATCCATTGTTGAATGAACCCGATGAGTGGAGGGACTATCCGTCAGCTTCTGATAACTTTCCCCGGCCTCAAATTTTATTCTAGGCAGTAGGAATGGTCCACTGTAATTTTCGTCACCATGCTCTAGGGCCTCGAATACCAAGGTTCTGATCTTGTCATACCCCCCCTACTGGGCGCTAACCTATGGGATTTCCTTCCAGCTCTGGGAGAACATACCGGGTTTCCGGGGTGGAGCAAAAGCAGAGCAGCAGTCCAGGGAGAGGAGGTGTGCAGCTCAGCCCCCACGAATAGTGGCTAAGTTGGGTTTAGTAGGTGAGGAGTCAATGTGTTTCAACCAGAAATCGTGGTGTTAGAAACCAACTACACCACCAAACCACATAGCACATACTCGAGTACTCGAGTATGGGGTACAGCCATAAGTTTTGTACGTTCCACCGGCAGAAGTGCGTCCTCTGCTTGTGGAACGTACGAAACTTATGGGCTGTAACTCTGTTCATTCATGTGTGCTCCCACCATTAACCTTAACCGTAACATAAGAGGTCTGACAAAGGCGGCCTACTTAAGCTAATAATCCTGACACCATACCGTTAAAACCCACGAAATTCACTATCTCCGAGCTGTGACGAAAATCCCTATAAATTACGACATCAGTACAATATAGGTTTAGCTTGCAGGGTTAACGAAATCCAACAAAGCCAAATGAGTCAGGCTATACCGTGTCAGGGCAACACTAATCCTTCTTAAGGGATTTTGACTTGGAATCCGGAGATTAGGGGCTGCTGGAGAGAGTGAATTTCACCAGTTTTTACGGTACTTATATTTGTACTTCATACAATACATGAACTATAGAACTCCATACACGGGTAGTAACTACGTCAAAGCAGGGTCCGAAGGACACCAAGATGAGTGATGATCAATGAAAGTCACAACAAAGATAGAGTGCAGGGTCAGCATTAGTGCGATAGTTTCCATATATGTCTCAGTTACCTCCTGTCCCGCTATAATTTTCCTGCTTGTCCGGTGCGCATATGGTGTATTTAATTCCCCGGAAGCCTACGCGTGTTCCCTGCAGAAATCATAGTATGATACATCAGTTATGCAGGCTTATTCTATACGTACAGTACTGTATCTCTATTTCCTGTTAGCTGCCACCTAGGTCCCCCTGCGCAAACTCTCTACTATTTCTCATAGGTTTGTCCACCTATGACTCAATTTCTGCGAACAATGATGATAAATAAGAACGAGGATTAGCATTTCCATACTGAGAAACCGGCATTTCCAGCACTAGAACACTTGTCCATTCCACCCCATGACATGCATCAAGACCGACAAACGACCTTCTAGCAGAGGGAAAACAAGTAGCATCATTAGTGCTTGGTGATCCTGCTCCTTTTCACTCTCCTCCACTGGAACCCGGGATCTCAAGTGCTCTGGAGCTGAAGGAAAGAAGCCAGTACCGCACACACAGGTGCGGTATAGCTATCCTCGTGTAGAGTAATGACAACATCATTACCCTTTGAGTATTTGGATGCTGAATTATAGACAAGGGCAATAGCTGGAGTCACAACACCGAGGGTAAGTTTACGGGCTACCGCTTCATGATGAAGCAATTCCTGGAATTCTGGTGTTTTCGCTAGCTTGTGAAGCCCGACCAGAACACTCGGTGGGCAATCAAGTCGGATCCTCCCCAACAGTTGTGCATGATAGACAACTCGGTCTGTAGGTGAAGGTTAATAACTACTGTATAGATAGTATTGGATATTAACTACCCAGGCAACCACGGAGGTTAAAGTTTTCCTTAAACATCAAATGTGCATCCTTTTCATGCAAAGCCATGCCTTGTATTCTGGTTAGAAAACATTCCCTAAAAGATGATAAGAATATTACTAAAATGCGTTCAATCTCGCAATATTTCTCCACAGTCTGCTGGTTTTGCTGCTCCCACTCCTGGCGAGACTGCCGGAGCATGTCATAAAAGTCCTCTTGCAGCTCTTCCTCTCGCTTCTTAAGACGTTGATACAACTTCTCCTCCATTTCCTCCAGCATCTGTAGCGATAACGGGGACAGCGCCATCACCGGGTGAGGGCTTGAACCACCAATAGCTGAACCATCGCACGTCGTAGCCATTGTGTCGGGGTTGCCGTTCAGTGGTGTCTTCCCAAAACTGGACGTGGCGTGAGGATGCTGATCAAGTGTTGGAGGGTCGTTCATGATCGGAAAACTCGGAACCGTGAGGAAGGATGATTGTATTGCTAGGAGGAGGAGGCAACACGGGGTTCTCCAGCTTTTGGCGAAAAGTGAAGCAGGAGATGGGGGGTGCTGTGCGGAAAACCCAGTCTACGCATCCCGGGATGACGCATTCAGGCCAGGGCAAGGGTCGCCAAGTTAGCCAGCCAGGCGGCTGCACCCCCGCCAACATCGCAACCTAACCCCAACATACCCGCATTATCTGGTTTAACTGGAAACGGTGCTAGAGCAGTCAAATAAAGTGTTAACTCCTGTCGCTTACTAAGCGATCAATGGTTTCCTCTTTGGGTTAGACTTGTTATATAAGAGCAAATATCGTCACAAATTTATTTCCTCATTGGGTGTATTGGCTCCAAGTTACCTTTTAATAATACTTGTATTATAGTTAGCTCGGGAAGTGTTAATTGGGCAGCTCTCGTACAAAAAGTAATAAAACTTTCAATGGCCATACCATCACGGCAAGTGGAAACCCCTTTCCGTAATTCTCTGGGGTACCGCGAAGCAGAGACTCTCACAGAAACCCTCGAGCCAAGGGGTTGTAGTTGTTCTAAGGGAGTTTGCAGTTGACACACCCCGTAAAAACTGTAACAATCGAAGAATGTGCTATCCGGTCCAAAACACCCTACTATGGAGAAGGACCGAAAGACACTGCAAAAAAAAAAAGAGAGCTGCTCTGCCCCTCTGAGAGACGTGCAAAGACAAAAACAAAAACACCAGACCTTACCAGAGGAGGCAACTCCGACGACATAGCACACTCTTCGGTTATTACAGCTTCTACGAGTAGGGTATTTGGGGTTGGTTGGGGGATTGGTTTTTCACTGTCCGACACCTGAGCACGCGCCTGGAGCCATAGACTACCCGCCTGCCAGTGCTTGTACTCCAGGGCGCATAGAAGCGGCTTCGTTCCTAACGCCGGAGCAAGATGAGCTAGCGGT